TGGGTGGGGGGGCAGCCTGTGTGAGGGAGAGCAGTGTTCTGGGGAAGAAGGCAGCTAGGGCGGCAGGCCCGCTGGGAACTGGGCAGGGCAGCCTTGGCATCTATACCACTGAGACTGGGCATTGCAGCGTGAAGACAGTGGGCTTCAGGCTGCCTGTGGCCTGAGGGTTAGGGGATCCAGGTCCCACATAGTTGATCACATGGTTCAAATACCAGCCCCACTGGCTGGAAAGCAGGATTGCAGGATTGCGGCATGACCATGCCCCGCTGGGGGCCTCTCGCTCTCTCTGCCTCTCTCTTGTCTCTGGCAAGTGCACAGCCCAAGTGAGTTTAAAGCGGAACTCATGTTGGGCCACCTCCACTTGCAACACCTGCACGTTACTTAACCCTGCTTGTTGTACCCATCTGCTCACCTGAGACGGGGTCAGAGCTGCACCTGCACCAGCAGTGCGGGAGCACGGGAGCACGGAGCATGACTACATGGGGAGCCGCCTCCAGCTCTGCACTGGCCTAGCTGGGGCGAGGTCGGCGGGTCTGGTGGGTTGGTGGGGTTCCCAGGCAGAGAGCCCCGCAGCTGAGAAGGGGGAAGGAGGAACCACAGAGATGAAGAAAGAACAGGTTGTGGGACCAGCAGTTAGCTTAGTGGCTATGTCGCTGGACTCCCACGTAGTCGACCGCGGTTCGAGTCCCGAACCCAGGGGCTTAAACTCATGCCGGGCGCGGGTGCGTGCGTGCCCAAGATCCCAAGAAGAAAACAGAGGAGAAGGGATTGCGGCGTGGCCATCCCCCCGGGGGGGGTGATTTCTCGCTTTCTATCTCTCTGTCTCTGTCTGTCTGGCGAGCACATGCGCCCTATAGCAAAAACCTCTTCAAAAAAAGAAAAAAGAGGGAACCAGCAGTTTGCGTAATGGCTATGTCGCTGGACTCCCACGTAGTCGACTGCGGTTCGTGTCCTGGACCCGGTGGCTTAAAACTCATGCCGGGCGCTTGTGCGTGCGTGCCCAAGATCCCGAGAGGAGAATGGAGGAGAAGGGATTGCAGCATGACCATCCCCCCTGGGGGGTGATTTCTCGCTTTCTGTCTCTTTGTCTCTCTCTGTCTGTCTGGCGAGCGCACGCACCCTACAGTGAAAATCTCTCCAAAAGAAAAAAGAAAAAAAGAAAAGAAAGAACAGGCTGAAAGGGGTGAAGAATGAGCTTGAAGTTTGAGCGGTCAGGTCAGCCCACAGTCCGGCCAGTTCCAGGGCTTGGGTGTGCCTATCCCTGCTGGAGCACCAGGCACCCTGAAGAGCTGGGAGGCTCGGTGGGCGCAGGTGTAAGAGTGGAGGAGGCCAAGACTGAGTTCCATCTGGCCAAGGAGGAGGGCAGAGAGCAGGGTGGAGGCCTGTGGAGGCCAGAGGCCCGGGAGTCTCAGGATGGAGGAGCTTGGACAACGCGGGGTACTGGATGAGCAGAAAGCAGTGGAAGATGGGTGGTGCACGATTGGGGTGTTTTCCTTTTTCCGGGGTTGGGGATGGAGGCCGGGTTCTCACACTGGGCAGGGGCAGGAGGTGAGCATGGAGAGGTGATGCTACCTGCCCTGGATGCACCGGAAGTTTGGCCTGTGCTGACCAAACAGGAAGCGGGCTTGCCAGCATTTGGGAGCGAGGGCTGGGTCACAACGCCAGGGGCTGTGGCCGGGAGGGAGGCTGAAGGAGGTGCCTGCCGCCCAGGGCCAGGAAGGAGGACTCCTGCGGCTGGATGTCCCCTGTCCCCGCAGCATAGCCTGAGAAGGGGCAGGAAGCGGGAGGGGCAGGGGGGAGTGTAGAGGCGACCTGATTCAAACTGCACTTCCCCCGTTTCTCAGAAAAAGGACCCGGAGCAGCCCGGAGCCCAGTCAACAGGAAAAGCCATCAGAGCGCTGGCGGGGCGGGGCCTCAGCCCAGCTCTGCCCCCTTCCGGCCGCTCTGTGCCTCAGTTTCCTCTTGTACAGGGCAGTGGGCAGGGGTGTGGTGAGAAGTCAGCCAGGGGGTGTCACCTTCTCGGGACTTAACCCGTGCGCCCCACCCTTCCATTCACCTAGCAGCACGGCACGGGGAGGGACCCTTGCTTTTCAAGTCACCAGTCGTTCTAAACCTGCTTCCGACGTTGCTAACCCTAGCGAGAACCGAGAAGCCATCGCGGGGCAGGCGCGGGATCGATGAGGGGCGGGCAGGGCGGAGAGCCAGGCTTGCTGCTGGCGCCCAGACCCGCTCCCGCGGGAAGCGGCCGCACGGCGGAGGCGCCGGGGCCAGCAGGCTGCGGTGGGAGAGTGCCTGCGGGAAGGAGCGGCGGGCGGGCGGGGGGAG